ATGCATTCGTTCACTTGAGACACTTCGTTGAGCCGAAAGTGTCTTTTGCGAATGTATGTGTGTGTGTGTGTTTGTTGTTTTCGTTGAAGCGTGTGGATCAATTACGATGAGCCGTCAGGGAAATAATAAAGTGCACTTTTGTTTTGCTATGAAGAATATGTGGAATTATGGATATTAAATCTTTTAAGTTTATAAATTTGCCTATGATTTCGTATTTACATTCTCGTTCTTCGTTATCCCATCCTCTTCCACGCTTTGCCTGCGAGGGAATATATAGTAGCAACAACAAATACCTAACGCAACTACAACAAAAAGACACTTCGTGCATGCACTGGCTCGTTTTGCTCAGTGACTGATGATCAGTTGTTGAGCGCCGAACGAAAGTCTCTCGCTCAGACTGTTTTCGTAGGAAAACACTTATGCTTCGTTCGCCGCTCAGCACGAGACCGAAAACACGAGAGCAACAAAAATACGTGTTCTGTTCAGAGAGAGAGCACGTCTGTTTCATTTTTCTGTCTTTTCCGCGAGCAGACAGCATACAAAAAATTGGTTGAGCATCTTTTTCGAGCTCTGTTTCAAACAGAAGTGTGGAGTAAGAGATTTGTTGGTGATTTGCTAGTCAGAGTCTGAGGCCTTTGAGCTTGGAGATCCCTGAGCTCGAGGGCCCCAGTGCGACGCATCGTCTGCATTACGTGATAGCTCTCATTATCAAACCAATTTATCACAATTTTAGCCGATGAGCTTTGGGACCGCGTGCAAATTAAATGCCGCATGATACCTGGCGAACACATACAAAATTTAGCCGAGAGAAGGCCCAAAAGCATATTCAAAATGTGATAAGGTTTTGCAAAAAACATTTTTTGAAAATTATAAATTTTAAAAATTGCCAACGTGCAGAAGTGGATACATTGACTTTTTTAATATTAAAAACTCTTTCATTTTTTATAATTAAAGAATATATAAAAAAACGAGAAGGAACGTGTGAGTCGCTTCTGGGGACGCGACTCTACTTATACCCGTACTCAGTCAGTATATACATTTTTGAGCATAATTTTTTAGAATTTTAGAATTAAAAAAAAAATTGTTTTGTGTGGGAGGAAGGGGGCGGGGCGAAATTTTGAAATACACTTGTAGCAGTGTGATATCACATGAGTCTGAAAATCAAATTTGGTTTCTCTAGCTCTTATAGTCTCTGAGATCCAGGCGCTCATCAAGACGGACGGACGGACAGACGGACATGGCTATATAGACTCGGCTATTGATGCTGATCAAGAATATATATACTTTATGGGGTCGGAAACGTTTCCTTCTCTGCGTTGCACACATCCACTTTTACCACAAATCTAATATACCCCTTAACTCTTTTTTGAGTACGGGTATAAAAAAACCACAAGGATTGACTCATTTTTAAAGATTTTATAGGTGTTTCAACTAAAATGTGATGAACATGTATCCTTGAATGCTCCACTGTAAGCCTGAATACCCACATCAATCGATGCGAAAATTGGGAGCCTAGGACTAAGTATAACAGTGGTATTATTTATTAAATTAACATTGCTGGTGTCTATCACTTAAATTTGACAATAGTTTGCATATAACAATAACTTACGATTAGATATTACGATTAAAAAACGTTAATATTGGAATATATGTATGCATGAATGACTTCATATTAAAAATTGCCTAAGAGCCAGCGTCTGCATCGTGATCTGCACGTTTTGGGAAGGAAAAAGATTCCATAAAAACTCGTGTTAGGGAAGAGATGTTTCACTATTTATCTCGCTTTTGTTTACTACAAAAAAAAAACAAGACATATATCATTAATATCAAGATAGTTTAAGAATTTAATGTAAAGAATAATGGCAATAAACATTATTCCTCGTTTTTTTCAGTAGCATTGTTTTGTTTTTGTTCAATCAAATTATTTTATGGAAAAAGCATTGCTGTTGTGAAAAATAACTGTTCCATTACTTTCTAGCCATAGCGATTCCTAGTCCCAAAATTCCGCCCAGCACAAGGGCAGCTCCTCCAGCAACTGCCATCCCCTTTGCAATTTCCTTATCGCTTTGCTTTTTAATGTATTCCTGCGAAGCATTAGTACCAGGTTAAATTTAAATATTTGTTCCTAAATTTTATATTCATTCACCTCTAGAGAGCGCACTTGATCGTTTGATTCAATTTCCAGGAAGGCTTTGCAATACTTTAAACCTTCAGTATAATTTTTAATACGAGCATTTCCGAACGCTAGGTAATAAATATAATCACGTCTTCCGTCAGGATGCGTTCGTGCTAGCTCTTCCAGTATCATAATTCCCTATATATATGGTAAATATGTAAATATTTAACTCGCCTTTTGTTAAAAAGATCTTCTATAATGAGTCACCTTTCTTATGTCGTTTGTGTACCGACTACGAACCAGACAAAATGCATATCTAAAAGGTTTTAAAGAAAAATAAAAGTTCACAGTCATGTCCGAAAATGTTGCCAATATATGTACACATTGCAAAATTTTTTCAAATATCGGCAGAACGTACTCAAATTTTGTCTCTGAAGTTACCTCTCCATCCAACTCTAGCTCATGGTGATATTTTTTTTCAAATCTCTGTAAAAGGAAAGTGCTGCAATAAACATTAAACAAAATGGTACAACGCACCTCCAAATCTTCTTGAGGTACAACATCATTTAAAAGTTCATCCATTGTTTCTTCGTTGCTTTATTTCCTTCTTTTTTACGACACGAATTGAAGGGTTGAAGTGTGACCGCGGAGTTATCGAACGAATATACCCGTCTGACCCTCAGAAATATACCAAAATATACATTTTCAGGCAGTCTCCGGTTTTCACATTCACTTTGCGTTTTACGTTTTCAGCCAAAAGTCATACTTTTCATTTCAAGGCGCTATGGAATCGACAAAAGTGAATTTGATTACTCCCTGTTCTGTTATACCCACGCGTTGCCAGATCATACAAAAAGGTCTCTATTAAGCCTAGTACTCAGATCGAAAAACTGTTTGCTAGCAAACAGATGTCATATATTTTTCGAGCGACTAGTGGTGTGACCAGATGTGTGCACTGCATTCCGAACGGTTACACTGCTCAGACCGCTGCTTGGTTTTGTTTAAAGTTAACAAAATGCACTTCTTCGGCTGGGGCCGCTCTTCCCCAGGCATATCCTGGGCTCCCCAATATTTTATTGCCAAGGTAATGTGTCTGACTACATTACCCGACAAAATCGAACCTTTTTTTTCCTCAAGGATGCAAACCGACTTTTTCTGATAGATATGGGGCTTTACAATTTTTTAAAGAATTATGGTTTTTTTTCTATGGCAGAACTTTTTTTGAAACATTTTTGAAGTCTGGTATTTTTTTTTAAAGCTTTTTTAGAGGTAGCGCTTGTTTTTTTTACATAACTCTAGCATCTTACGTCTGGTTGTAAAGAACTTAGCTATTTTGAAAAGATAATTAAAACAGCTAGAAGTTAAGCCCACACACTTTGTGATTTTATTTTACCGTCTGGGAAATATAAAGCATTGAAATGCAAAAATGATGATTTTTGTGCGGTATTTTTTACGAAATTTTGACTTTAAAAACTCAGGAAAAGTCGAAGAAAAAATGATATCCTGTGTCCTCTAGTTTTTTGTGTATAGGTGCATTAATTTGGCGTCGTTTAAGGTATCGCTCATTCAAATCTATGTAGAGACTTTGGAGCTAAAATTCGTTAACCAAACCTAAAAAATTAAAAAATTTAACAAAAAATACCTTTTGGAAGGTTGCGGGCCCAACTGCCAATTGGGAACAAAGCAAACGAAAAAGGGTTGTACATTTGGTACCTGATCGCGTTCCTTTGGTATGAAATGTTGTTGACAGTTACTTTTTTCGTTATCTGAGGTAGGATATCTGTTCAGGTCAAATGTTTCCTTTATATTCTCACATTAAGCTGAGACTAATGAAAAATTTTGTTAAAGCACTGGATAAGGAAGGAGAATCAATGCGTTACCTAAAAGCTGTTTTTCCACGTCTATCGCTGGCAAAAGTGAAAGAAGGAGTATTTGATTGTCCCCAAATAAAAAAACTACTAAAAGATGATGGATTTCCTTCTGGCCTCTACACAGATCCACTTCCACATCCACTGTTACTTTCTTTTTAAATACCAGGATTGCGTAACAACTTCTCCCAAACGGCTCGATCGTTTTTTATAAAATTTGTTTTCTATATTTAGTAGATATTAGAATAGTTTATCAAGTATTATCACCGTCCTACCACTACCCATCATTTTTTATCAGGATTTTAAAATGTTTTATTCTTTAATGATTAAAGTTTAATCTATGTACATATTGGTTTAATGCAGAGGCCGGCAGCGTCGTATGCATAGGAAAAAATTTCGGGCAGCGCAGTCGGCACACGTACAGCGTAAAGACTTCGTGTGGTTTCGTTATTCTGCCTGATGACGAACCGGCAGAGAAAATTCTGCTCTGCTGACTTCGCGGCAGAGAAACATGCTTCGGGCTATGCACAAACGGCTTCATAATCTGCTCGCTTGCCTCAGCGGCAGAGAAGCATTCGTGTGCCCCATGCACAATTCTTCGGCTTTCGCAGCAGCAGAATGTGTGAGTCTGTGTGCCGACCCCTGGTTTAATGTTACGGGTGTTGTGAGTGTGAAAGGTTTGCATACCGATTTACATCAGTAAGAACATCCATTTGGTATATTTGTGTGTATCCCCTTTTGGTCGTGAAATGAATAATGCAAGAAACTGTGTTCGGTGGTCAGAAAGAACAGACGAATCTAACAAGATACCGAATATGTGCGTTTAAGCAAGTCGCAATTGCGTGAATTTCAATCACACGAGGTGATCGAAACCAACAACGACAATTGGAGTACGAGGGTTGAATATTCCGATCATCCAAAAGTGCTATTTGGTGCTATAGACAAAGAATGTCATGCGCTAAAATTCGAGCATGAGTCCGCTGGTATTTGTTGCGCATCAGGAAAAGTGCAACTACCTGAAATTGAGACAGCACCAAAAACATTGAACGGCTTGCTCATTCAATTCATACATGCAAGTGACATCGTTTGGAGCAACAGGTATAGTTTACAATACTACGGCAAATGGTAAATAATTCGATTCAATATTTATAATCAAAGAAAAATTTTGCCACATAGTGGTTTCATTGCTGACAATGGCAAACGAATCACATACATTTTTACAAATATACATCTTTGGTGGTGAGTCGTCTATATCACGACCGTGCATTCGCAATCGTGTGCATGCACGTTTCGGCCATATACTTTGCCTTCGAGCAAAGCCGAGCTTCCCGAATTAATAATGAGCATAAGGAATTATTGAAATTCTTGAAATCTATCCGAAGTTACGGTGGCAAAAACGTAACAGCTAGCGACAAAAAAGATCTTCCAAATTGATATAGATATTTTTAGTGGCAGAACGTTTGCCAGGTGGCGCTGAAGGAAAAAAAAACATCTGGCGTTTTATTTGCGGGTAAACGACAATACACTTTAATTTTTTATACCCGTACTCAAAAAAGAGTTAAGGGGTATATTAGATTTGTGGTAAAAGTGGATGTGTGTAACGCAGAGAAGGAAACGTTTCCGACCCCATAAAGTATATATATTCTTGATCAGCATCAATAGCCGAGTCGATATAGCCATGTCTGTCTGTCCGTCTTTCCGTCTGTCCGTCTGTCTGTCTTGTTGAGCGCCTAGATCTCAGAGACTATAAGAGCTAGGGCAACCAAATTTGGTTTCCAGACTTATGTGATATCCCACTGCTACAAGTGTATTTCAAAATTTCGCCCCGCCTCCTTCCGCCCCCACAAAGGACGAAAATCTGTGGCAGGCACAATATTAAAGATACGATAAAACTAAAAACGCAGTATCGTAGAGAATGACCATATCTACCAGACTGCCGAATCTGAATCAGATCGGATCATAATTATAGCCAGAATGAAGAAATTAATTTTTAGTTGCTTCCCCTCTCCCTCCCGTTACAGACAACACAACTCATTTTCCTTCTCGCTCGCACACGCTGCCGCGTTCAGTGCGCGAGCAACCCCTAGCGGAGGAGATGTAGAATATGAATGGAACATGTACAATCTACATGTTAGATGTAGAATAGACATTGTAGATGAGATGTAGATAGCAGATGTAGCAAAAAAATGTAAAATGTAAATTTTTTTTTTTCCAAAATTCTAAAAAATTATAAGCTCAATAATGTATATACTGACTGAGTACGGGCAAAGACAATATAAGTATAAGATGCGGAACGCTCATACATTTCAATTGCCATATGCAAGACAATTTTTCGGCCAGCGACGAAATTCGCGCCATCTCGCTCGCACAAATTTGAGAGCGTACGAATCTAAAAATAGAATCCGCTTGCATGTGTAAGTACACACAGAACAGCAAGTGCGTATGTGTGCGTACTTGTGCTAAGCGGACGATTTTCGAGACGGAAACCTTTTTATGAGTTGAGAAACGAAATTATATACCGGCGTTGAATACGTCGCATCCTGAATACCCTAATGGCAATTATTCCAATGTGATTCATGGAATTTCATGTATTAAATATATTATGTATTTTTATATATGTATATACGATCATCATTATCGAATATACCATCTTAAAATAAATTATCGTTGAAGGGATATACATATACAATATAACAGTTTTTTAATATTGGGGTGGTAAGCGTCTTGCAAAATTAACTTACACTTATAAAGTGAAGGGTATATTTCGACAGCGCTGTAAAAAACGTATGCATGTGCACACATACAGTCGTCGCGACGACTCGGCTCGGCTGTCGCATCGGCAAAGAACCAACTTCGTGTTCCTTCGTATGCTGTATGCATACAAGAGAGCGGCTGGCTCTAGAGCGCTCTCTCTCTCTCTAAAAAATTTCAAGAGAGCCTGGAGCCAGCTCTAGAGCCAGCCCCGAAAATTCGTGTGCAGAAATTTCGTGTGGCGTTACGCATCTTATACTTATATTGTCTTTGGTACGGGTATAAGTAGAGTCGTGTCCCCAGAAACGACTCACACGTTCCTTCTCGTTTTTAAATTTAATTTTTTGAATGCAATATCCTGACGCTACAATTATTAACTTATTTTTATTGCGCTAGTCACTTACGATGTATAATTCGTTTTGAAAGAGTATTTACTTAAAACTAATAATTGTACATTAACATTTTCACAAGAGTGTTTATAAATTTTATTATACCCGTACTCAAAAAAGAGTTAAGGGGTATATTAGATTTGTGGTAAAAGTGGATGTGTGTAACGCAGAGAAGGAAACGTTTCCGACCCCATAAAGTATATATATTCTTGATCAGCATCAGTAGCCGAGTCGATATAGCCATGTCTGTCCGTCTGTCTGTCCGTCTTGTTGAGCGCCTAGATCTCAGAGACTATAAAAGCTAGGGCAACCAAATTTGGTTTCCAGACTCATGTGATATCACACTGCTACAAGTGTATTTCAAAATTTCGCCCCGCCCCCTTCCGCCCCAACAAAGGACGAAAATCTGTGGCAGCCACAATTTCAAAGATACGATAAAACTAAAAACGCAGTATAGTAGAGAATGCCCATATCTACCAGACTGCCGAATCTGAATCAGATCGGATAATAATTATAGCCAGAATGACGAAATTAATTTTCAGTTGCTTCCCCTGCCCCCTCCTGACCAAGACAACACAACTCATTTTCCTTCTCGCTCGCACACTCTGCCGCGTTCAGTGCGCGAGCAACCCCTAGCGGAGGAGATGTAGAATATGAATGGAACATGTACAATCTACATGTTAGATGTGGAATAGACATTGTATATGTAGATGTAGATAGCAGATGTAGCAAAAAAATGTAAAATTTTATTTTTTTCTAAAATTCTAAAAAATCATAAGCTCAAAAATGTATATACTGACTGAGTACGGGTATAAGTAGAGTCGTGTCCCCAGAAACGACTCACACGTTCCTTCTCGTTTTATTTCGATTTCCATTGATCACCACACCAATTAGGACAGAAGGGATTTCTTCAAACTTGCAAATAAATAAATAATGGTCAAAATTGGGTAACAAGTGTTTATAACAAGTTGAAAATCACAGTTTACTTTTGCGAAATTACTTTTTGACACAAATTGCAAGAAATTAGTTTATTATAGGCCGTTTACACTGGGGCTGCGTCATGCTTCTTTGCGTCTTGGCGAAGACGCAGTTTTTTTTACATAGGTTAAGCATAGGGCCCTAGTGGTGGCAAAAAGTTGCGTCAGTGTCTGATTCATGTGCGTCTATTCGGTATATTCGATTGATTTTGCTCATTTTTGGTATTTTCTGCCTATCAGCGCAACTATCACCACTAATAACAACAAAAAATTGTAGATCAAAAATCAAATTTTGGCGCTAAAAATGTATGATTGTGCAAAAAGGTGAAAATATACATAAAGTCATTAAATAAAATACTTGAAACTGATTGTATTATTATCATATGAAATTTTTCTGACCCCCTGATGCCATTAAGACACTGCTGGAGACGAACTTCGGTGGTTTTCATAATTTGAAGAAGAACTCCCACAAACTCTACAATGAAATGTCTGAAAATAATATTTAAATATGAGAATCAATTCTTTTTCGTCCATTTTCCTGACGTCTTGCTTAATTCTGTTGATTTTCAAAAATTTGTGTATCTTTCCTTGTCATCAAACACCCAAATCCAAATTCAAGACGCACGTCTTCCAATGTAAACGCCTTTTCTGCTTCATTGCGTCTATGCCGATATCGATAGCAGACGCGCCCAGTGTAAAAAGGCTATAAGTCGACAATACAAAAACACTTTGGTAGGATTTTTTCTAAAATAAGATATAAAAAATACAATCCACAACTGCAACATTGAATGCATAATTCAAAATCGTTTCATAACACTACTCGACAAAATTGAACTTATTTTCCGCTTCGATCCAAACCGACATTTTCTGATAGAATGGGAGCTTTTAAATTTGCCAAAAAAACGATGGCCCTTTGTGCAATAGCCAAATATTTCAACACAATAAAATAAAGTAAAATGAAAATGACTTGAAATTATTTCCTCTGTCAAAAAAGTTTTAGACGCTGATAGCACTACCCGACACGATTTTTCCTCAAGGAACCAAAACGACTTTTTCTAATAGATTTGGGGCTTTAAAATTTTTTGATAACACTACTCCACAAAATTGATCTTTTTATTTAGGCCCGCAACCTGCCAACAATTTTTTTTTTTGTCTATTTTTTAACGACTTTTAGCTCTCCCGTTTATCCATCGATTTTAATGAACAATACCTTAACGACTCCAATAACGACGCCTAATTAATGCGTCTATCTAAAACCAAAAATGTTGGCCAAGAATTATTTTTTTTTCGACTTTTCCCAAATTTTTAAAGTCAAAATTTCGAGAGAAAAAAAAATCAAAAAAATTATGAAGTTTGAATTTGAAAGCTAAATATCTTCCAGGCGTTACGCTGCAGATGCAAAGAGTCTGGGTCGGATTTATAGCTGCGTTTGTCAGCTATAACAGAACTGTTCTATACAACCAGATATAAGAGACTTAAGTTATGTGAAAAATAAAAGCACTACCTCTGAAAAAAACATTAAAAAAATACCAGTTTTCAAAAATTCTTTAAAAAAAAAATAAACCATAGAAAAAAAACCATAATTCTTAAAAAAAATTTAAAATCCCATAACTATCAGAAAAAGTCGGTTTGGATCCTTGAGGAAAAAAAAGTTGGATTTCAGGTTTCCAGGTTTTCGTTCGACAACTTTTTAAACCCGTACTCGAAGAGTTAAGGGGTATATTGTATTTGTAGTAAAATTGGATGTGTGCAACGCAATGAAGGAAATGTTTCCGACCCCATAAAGTATATATATTCTTGATCAGCATCAATAGCCGAGTCGATATAGCCATGTCTGTCTGTTCGTCCGTCCGTCTTGTTTGTGTTCTCAGAGTTCTCAGAGACTATAAGAGCTAGAGCAACAAAATTTTGATTCTAGACTCATGTCACAGTGAATCATGTTTGTTTTAAAATTTTGTCACGCCCCCGCAACGGACGATAATCTGTGGTAGCTACAATTTTAAAGATACGAAAAAACGCAGTATCATGTAGAATGAAAATATCTATCAGATTGCCGCATCTGGTACAGATCGGATCATTGTTATAGCCAGAATGAAGAAATTCATTTTCAGTTGCCTACCCCGCCCCTCTCTGAGGAGCAGTCGCTACGTATTCTCTTTCTTGCTCGCACACACTTTGCACAGGGCAACTTTTGCGAAGATGTAGAATCTATATAGTAGATTGTATAATCTACATTGTAGATGGCAAATGTAGCTAAAAAATGTAAAATGCAAAATATTTTATGATTCTACATAAATCATAAGCATACATATTTAGTTTCAGTTAAATTCCACGTGGAAAAAGTGGGCACTTCTGAATACATCAGTGCTCTGGCGAAAGCGTTTTTTTGGCATATGGTAAAGAAGGCAGTTAGAGTTGCAGCAGGTGATGGTGGATTGACGACTTTCTTGCATATTTGCGTTTGTGAAATAGACTCGTTGGCCATTCTCCAAGTGGACGTTGGATTGCGTTCATGCATGGGAAATAATTAAAATCGACATGCAGCCTCATTGCTGCTTATGTATCTTCCAGTCTGGTATTGGGAATGTCATCGACAACTCGCACTGCATTCCTATCACCAAACCAAAACTGCAATATCGCTGCCTTTATTCACGTACTTGCAGATGTATTTGATCGATTTCACGGAATTTCAAGTCTGCGTTTATGTGCGCTTTGTATGTGTTTGACAACAGAGGCGAATATGGAACCACCCAACGATTGTCTACCTCAATATCTCCAATTCGAATGTGTAAAGTTGCCGAAGTCCCGCCATCTTCAGTTGAACGTCTACCTTACAAAGGATATCCATCGTCTCCTGTTGGCTGCTCGAGAATATCGCTTGGAACATTTACCATCTACCATGCATGGTGAACTCGGATTGAGTGTACTGCATGGTCTATGGATCATGTCCTTGATGACAGCGCATGCTAAAATTATCAACATTATGTCGTGAAATCTCACCGCATCATATGTGCGTATGTGCCAATCCTCTCTGCCATTCAACTGAATACAGTACCGCACAGATTTAAAAACTCCATGCTTCACAATAATTTTACATCAGTGACATCAGCTACACGGGCTGTGATGTCATGCCTATCCGCGGCCGATTGTCCAAAAAATAACAGCTGCACTATCTCGGTCCAAGCTGGATTACTTGTGAAGGTGATGAATAAGTCTGGACGGCCGTAATAACGAACATATGAACATGGTATTTTGAGCATATTCCCGCATGTGACGTGAACTACCTATGTATGAATATGGAAAAATTGTAAGCTTTCCAAAAAAGTCGAAAATTATGGCATTAATGTAATTTTTTTGGGTTAAATATTTTATTGCGGTTTTCATTTTTTGATTCCTTAATAAAAAGATAGAACAAAACTAATTTTAAGGAATTTTAAAGGAATACCAGGTCACGGTATGTCGATTTATTGTTAGTACATGTTTTTAGAGAGTTATGTTTTGTTATTGAATTGCTCAATGTTTGGTTCGAGTCTATTTTTAGCTCTACACCAACACTCTACAGCACAACCAATCACCAAGGTTAAAATTAGGTGCTTTTAACCAATTAATATAGAATCAAATGGTATTAATGTTTTCGGCCCGTTTTTGCCCCTTTTCGGAAAATTTTACATTTTGCAGATGTTCATGAGTTCACTCATGCAGCGCTGCTTGAGGTTTGGATCAACAACAAACGCGAAGCAGACGCTGTACAATTTTATATTTTAGAAAAAGTTGATGAAAACTATCTCACTGAAAATAAATCGATTGAAATTTCAAAAAAATGGCCAATTTATGGCTTATGTAAACAAATACTTACAAAATTACAATTACAAAAGATTAAATTTGTTTTCCGTAATTCTAGTTTTGTCTAACAAGCATTTATGTAAATTTGAAGAGGTCTAGCTTTACTTTTAAAATAAATGCTTGTATTACCGTCATTCACAACGAAATCTCGCAAATGAATATAGTCCTCGGATCGAAATTTCGTCTGATTCAATCTAAATAACAGCAAACGTTCTATTTCAGTTTTGAATAAATATCCACAATGTACTAACGATATTTCAATGTATGATTGTCCTCGTTTCCACGAACCATTAAGCGGTATGCGTAAACGTTCATCCCAAGTTTAGAAATATTACACGTTGGAGTCCCATAAATTCATCCACCTGGTAAAAACTTCGCAGCTATTCCAGACGAAGCGAGAGCTAAGGTTACTTCATTCTGTGATCGAAAACAATACTAAAGGTTGACGCCCCTAGAAAATCCTACTTCATACAACAATATTTATTGACGTAAACAATAGAGCAAGCTTAAACTTGTCTTAATTTGGGCTCAAACGGTTCAGTACTTTTCAAATGCATAGAGTTCGGAGGTATGAACACAACATTTGTATATATGTATATGGATAGATTATTTGGTTAAGAACATGTCACTTGGAAAACGGAATTTTAACATTAATTAAAGGAAATAGGGTAAAAAAGTTTCCGGTTGACAAGCAACAAGTATGAACTGGGAATGATCCCACTTACGTTTTATGCTTTTTTTTTGTATTGACCTTTTTTGTGTAAACTTTACTTAATAACACATCCAATAAAAAAAAGTCCTCAAAGTTAGCTAATCTTGTAGAAAATTTGTGTATCTATCGGATTAAATTGTATTTTAAGTGATGAGAGTCCTAGCCAGTTAAACCGAATATCAAAATGATTTTCGATCATGGAGAGAGAACGCTTAACCCATTGTCGACCATTGGGTATTTTTATACAAAAACTAAAATTATGAAACTGAGTGTATTTTAACGCAGTTCAGGTGTTAGATCTCGTGATAATTTTTTTTTTTTTGTGAGTAAAAAGGAATGATTGACCTACAAGGAACATTTACAAACAGAATTATTTTCTGCTGTTTAATTCAAGGTGTTCGCCTTTTTAAATATAGGGGGTTAATTGGGTTAAGTTCGTTTTTTCCTCGGTATATTTAAAAAATGACAAGGTATATATCTGAGGGTCAGAAATCCGCGGTCACACTGAACAGAAGGAACCATTTTTTCTGTCTACTCGAAATCAAAACAGAAAATACTAGTTAGTAGATATTTATTGAAATATATTTTACAAATGCCGTTCTCCGCATATTTGTTCAAAAGCGTACGGGTATGAAGTTACAAGCAAACTAAAAGGCACATTAATTGATAGCCTAGCGAAACTCGAGCAGACCATACACACACATACACACACACGAACGAGCAAATGGAGCAGCAGCAACACGTCTCAAAGTTGTTTGTCTGCACAGCGGTTGACTGCAAAGATGATATCGAGGAGGTGCGAATTTTAAATAACAAAAATGTTATATTTGAAATAAATAATAGTCTCATTTTTTATTTTGTTTTTTTAGAAATTTGAGCGGTCTTATATTAATCTGCAGCAACAAATTGCGGGCCTTAGTGATAAGGATATGCACGACATGCTGTCGCAGTTTGTTTGTAAAGACAAACAGCATGAAGAAATTTCAATTGGCTTCCTTTATATAATGCTTACTGACCCTGGTATGGCTCCTAAAACATATCGGGACATAACTCTTGTGTCCAGGGACGGCATGAATGTGATTGTATCAAACCTTACCTTACTTGTCGCTGAGAAGTATTCTAAGCTCACGGAGGTTGCCCGCAGACAGCTTATCTGGGTATTGCGAGAATTTGTAAAGCACCAGGTACTCAGTGTCGAAAATGTAATTTGGAACTGCTTACGACAAGCAGGCGGAGGAGATGCGTCTCATAGGAACCTGTTTCTCGTCGAGAGTCTCCTCGATATATTCATCGAGTACAGAGCATGGCTGGAAGCCAATCCGTTTCTCGTACAATCCACAGTTTACAGCTATGTTCGCCTCATAGAAGACCATGCTAATCCTGCCCTGATATCACTTCGTCAAAAGGAAGTAAAGTTTACAATCTCATTGATTCGGGAACGATTCCATGATATCATTCCACTAGGAAGAGATTTTGTACGGTAGGTGCATAAAGAAAGTTCAACATTATGCACAAAAAAACCTTGAATGAGCCTCGGCCTGCCGAAGAGCTTTGACATTCAAGACAGATTGTGATTTGTTAATGTTTAACTTACTAAATTTCTAACTGGTTTAGAGCTGTCTTTATAGTTGGTTTCGATCCGTATATTTATCTGATTCAATGCACTGACAAAATTCTTACTAACTACTGCTATGCACGGAATGCTATTTGTTCCATTAAAAAAGTTTAAAAAGAATAGAAAATAAAGTTTTCAAAAAGCAAAAATACATACAAAGACAAAAGGCTAAATAAAAATTTCCTTAAGTTTTTTGAATGAATCTCATTTTCTAATATTTTATTCTATTTATTTTTTCAATAGCCTTTTGCAAAACGTCGCGCGCATTCCCGAGTTCGAACAACTATGGCGGGATATTCTTTATAATCCCAAAAGCTTACATCCAACATTCAACGGAATTTGGCAGTTACTACAAATTCGGACAAGTCGAAGGTTTCTGCAATGTCGTCTTCTACCAGAAATGGAACGCAAGTTACATTTTCTAGCATCGTCGGTCAAATTTGGTAATCAGAAGCGATACCAGGATTGGTTTCAGGACAAGTATTTCGCGACACCTGAGTCGCACAGCTTACGCTCAGACCTCATCCGTTTTATCATTAATGTAATCCACCCGACTAACGATATGCTTTGTTCGGACATTATACCGCGATGGGCGATCATTGGCTGGCTCATCTCATCATGCACAAACCCAATTGCATCGGCCAATGCAAAGTTGTCATTGTTTTATGATTGGTTATTTTTCGATCCAGCCAAAGATAATATTATGAACATAGAGCCCGGCATTCTAGTGATGTACCACTCCATCAGAAATCATCCATTTGTCAGCAGTACGCTTTTAGATTTTCTGTGTCGCATTACAAAGAACTTTTATGTAAAGCACGAGGATAAAATTCGAATGGGCGTATACAATTCATTAAAACTTATACTTGACAAACAGGTTTGGTGTAATGAGATATATCTTTTGCTGTTCAAATAATTAATAATTGTTTTTTTACAGGTAATACCAAACTTACAACCACTATTTGAATCGCCAAAGCTTGACAGAGAGCTTCGTAATTTAATACGAGAAAACTTCAGGGAATTTGTGTCGTCTACTTCAAACCTATCTCAGCCCATTTATCCAGCACCACATTCTATTCAGGGTCCAATTTTCAAAAAAGATGCAGATCAACGAATATTGCATGGGGGTCAGTGTTCGTATTCCAAAGCATTTATCGTTTAAAGTCGTATCATAATAAATCATTTTTATTTCTCCAGAAAATTTCGATATCGCTGGAGCTGTGTTTGCTACGAACAGCGGATCTGTCGTATCGCTAGTAGATGAGGACTGCAAAATGGTTATACCGCCGTCAGAGCGAGAAATTGAAGGCATTTTCAGCGATCAAGACGTTGAGAGCTTGGGAAGAAATAATAAAAACGATGAAAATACCGATGACGACGACGACTTGCCACTTTCAAAAGTTAGATTTCAACAGATTACAAAAAAAAAAGTAATAATATAATTAGTTTTCCTTTTCAGGTCAGACTCAAAGAAAAGCCAAAGGTTGAGCTAGCCGAAGCAATTGCCGAATCATTTGAATGTTTTATTACAAAACGGAACTCATTTACATGGGAGGCATTTTTAAAAGATTTCCGCTCCTTACCAGCTTCTGCCTTCGAGGAGTTTCAGCTCAATTATGTGATCTCGAATACCGTTTTAATTCTTCGGGAAACCTTACCCCAACAAAATATATTCTCGGAGAGTAAGACTGATGAGAAGTTTTTGGCAAAGAGCATTAGCTATCCCATTTATGGTCTGTTCCGTTTTCTTTACGAAAACGATGATAAAAGCAAAAAACCCTTTCAAACGATGCTCTCTGAGATATGTGAGCGCATACCTGAAACAGGATTTTTGTTTCTCTATTTTATGAAGATTCACTGTAAGTTGCAAACCCGAAAAAATTCCCAACTGTCATATCAGTTCAAAACGACAGTCTATCGACAAATATGCGATGCGACTGATGACAAGATTGGCAATTGCCTGGTCAGAGACCTCGACCTGCTGGAGAAGGAAAATACGACCATTTACTTATGGCTCTTGCCTGACATATATCGAGAATTTAAGTCACTCGCAACAAATAACACTGATCTGTTGCGGATTACACTGCGCTGCATAGATGCAAAAAATGTTCGTGACATAATATACTCAGTCGCGCAAGGCAAACTCACCATTTTTAAACAAGATGGGCTAATTGATTGTATTAGAGAGAGTCTAGATTATGAGACCTACGAACAATTCTGTCTGTGGCAACTCGTTCAAGCACATGATGTACCCTTAAAGACTATTCAGGTAAGCAGTGGCTATTATGTCAACTATTCAATTTTTACGTTTATAATTAAAAACTTTGTAGGACCTATTGCCAGAATTGGAGGCTGCAAATCATCCGGAAGCACTTAGTCATTTTCTCTTACTTCTAAAAAACGAAGAGCCGACGAATGAAATAATTCGACTTATGCTAAGCAGGGAAGCTAAATCAAGGGGAGATCCCTTTGTTACTTCGGCGTTAAGGTAAACGTATACAATTACTTACATTTTAGTAATATATAAATATGAAACCATTTTGTTAATAGGTTTTGGTGTCAGCGGTACGAAGAAAAGCTGTCTGAAATCATTGCATCTTTGCTAACGTCAAAATATCCTAGCTCATCTCCTAACAAAAGAAAACGACCATCTAAAGGTAGTTCAGTGGCCAGTAGTACTCCCTCCGCTGATCAAGTAGGTTTATAAGTTTATAAGTCGCATAGAATCAGGATTTACCAAATCATTTTTTTTAAATTTTGTTTTTGAATAGGTATTAAACCATCTAGAGCATTATAGAAGAAGTTGCAGGCACGGAACAGGTACCGGGCTATATGTTCATGATATGATGCAGCGGGCATTGCAATCTGCCTATTCGCATAGTAATGAGAGCACAAAGGCAAGTACTAAGTACATATTTGTAATTTGGTTCATATAATTTAATATAATCCTATAGAAACAATTCAGCGATCTATTCGCATTGGCAGCGGAAGACGAAACCACTGCCGTTGGCCGCCGTGGAGGAAGCGGTCGAGGACGTAAGCAACCAGTTAGTAAAAAGGACGCAAATAATCACAGCACGGGAAACAAAAAAAATTCGGAGATCATTAAAACTATATACTCTTCCGATGAAAACTCGAGCGAGGTATGGAAAATTTGATATTGAACCCTCTAACATTTAAAAATCTTATAAATAACTTATAATTTTAGGAGGATTGGTCGAAACAGAAAACGACACAGGCAGCAAAGAAACGGAAAAAAGTTATTAATGAGTCTGACTGACAGTTTGACCGTCAATCATTGGCTTCAGTCCCCATTGTATGCTTTGACGAAGTGAATTATCTGAAAAACAAAAAGGAGTTTTTCAACGACATTAGTTAAGTTGAAAAGTTTTTAATAAGATTTTATAATTAATAAGTAAATAATTAGTAAAACAAATTATAGAATTTTTTGAATGTTAAAATTGTAACGTTATATTTTTTTATTTTTAATAAAAAAATGCTTATAGATTTATTCAGAAAATTAAGGAAAGAGCTTATTTTCAGACCTAAACACATACGTACATACATATCTATGTATATATGTATATAGTTAAAACATAAGATTCTTAAATAATTTGGCATGGCTATCAGAGAACGAAATTGAGAACGTTCAAACATAAAAATCATCCTTAGCTTTGAATTGTTCGCTTTTTTGTTGATATTTAATCACCCAAAACTGTGCTCTTTTTGTGGCCTCGCCTGTAGCTCAATCAAAAAATGAACTCGTATATTTTTAACCATGTAATGAGTCGGGGGTGTGCTTCTCAACGAGATGAAAAAAAGAACAAAATTAATTTGTTAATTTGAACTCCTCGAATTTTATGAATTTACTTTCGTATACTAAGTAGGTCTGCGCATAGGTCGTATTTTTCATCTTCACATTACCGCCCATTGACTTTTAATCGCGATTATAGTGTTTTTGGATCAATTAGTTGTTTGATTTAGTTGTCAGAGTATTATGGCACATAATCTCAATTTGATATTTGTCTGTGTTTTTTATACCCGTACTCAAAAAAGAGTTAACGAGTATATTAGATTTGTGCTAAAAAAGGATGTGAGTAACGCAGAGAAGGAAACGTTTCCGACTCCATAAAGTATATATATTCTTGATCAGCATCAATAGCCGAGTCGATATAGCCATGTCTGTCTGTCTCGATGAGCGTCTAGATCTCAGAGACTATAAGAGCTAGAGCAACCAAATTTGGTTTCCAGACTCATGTGATATCCCACTGCTACAAGTGTATTTCAAAATTTCGCACCGCCCCCTTCCGTCCCACAAAAGACGAAAAAATTTAAAAATTTTAAATAATCCATTGCTAAAAATGTATATACTGACTTAGTACGGGTATAAGTAGAGTCGCGTCCCCAGAAGCGACTCACACGTTCCTTCTCGTTTTTTGTGAATTTTGTCAATTTTTTGTTTTATACCGTGAACAGTGCCAGCAATATGCAAGGGGACCCAGTTTCACCTTCGAACAAATAATGCAACATACATGAGCAATAGTAGAGCAGAAAGAACAGTCAAACGAATCAAAGAAGATAACGAAAAAGTGTGTGGCGGCTTGTCGCAATTTCATGAAACTCAATCACAAGAGGTACGAAATGAACAAATAAAATTGAAACGGAGACGTGGGCGACGTGGGCTACATAATTGATAATATCAGAAAAAATTACCAACAACGCCAAACAGTAAATAGAGCATTTACTTCCGCTTCGTTCCTTCGTCTCTAATTCGCATACCAACCAGATATTGAATATTCCTCACATCAGAAAGAGTTGATGGATGGCTATGGACCAAATGTAAAAATGACTTAATGGGTGGTGAGGACATAATTCGCGCACTCCCCAATCGCGTAGATGCACTATGCGATTACCATAACCTTAATTAGGAATAGTTGGAGAGCTGGGCAAACTACGTAATCAGCACAAAAAATTATTGAAATTATTCATTAAACAAAAATTGGAGTCTTTAATAAGATGCATTACAAAATTATACGGTCAAAAAAACTGCTGGATGTATTCAGTTGAATGGCAAAAACGAGGATTACCTCATGCACACATTTTTATTTTGTTAGTCGACAAAATACGCCCTGAGGAAATAGATAGTGTAATTTCCGCGGAAGTCCCAGATCCGTCTACTGATCAACTACTGTTTGATAGAATTACTACAAGCATGATTTATGTCCCATGCGGTGATATGAATCGGTTATCGCCTTGCATAAAAGATGGAAAATTTACAAAGCGTTTTCTAAAAAATCAGATGATCACAAACGTCGATGAATATCCAAATGTGTTTCAAATTCCAAATACTGATATGAATGCTTCTTGATTAAATGAAAATAATACGAGAATATGTTTGTAATGAATATGATTGAAATAATACAAATAAAAAACAAAAAACTTTTTTATAAAGATCTATAAAATGATATAGAAGACTTGGGGGTTGGCGGACGAACGAAGAAAGTATGGATTACATGAATTATGTATTATAAAATATACATGTACTATCTATTTATTTTATAAAATAGTAAAAATAAATCGAGGTCTATCGAGGGCTTTTTATACCCGTACTTAAAAAGTATAAGTAAAAGTATAAAAGGTATATTAGATGTGTGGTCATAGTGGATGTGTGTAACGCACAAAAAGAATCGATCCATAAAGTGTATATATTCAAAATCAAGACTCATGGATATCACACTGATTTAGTTTGTTTTTCAATTTTGCCACGCCCCATTCCGCATTCAAAAAGGACGAAAGTCCTCCTCCAGCAAGAGACCACGCTACTCATTCTCTTTCTCGCTCACACACTCTGCCTCGTTCAGTGCGCGAGCAATCCCTAGCGGAGGAGATGTAGAATCTAAATGGTACATGTATAATCTACATTTTAGATGTAGAATATACATTGTAGATGTAGACGTAGATAGCAGATGTAGCAAAAATGTAAGATGTAAAATTTTTTAAAATTCTACATAAATCATAAACTCAAAAATTTATATATTGACTGAGTACGGGTATAAAAGTAGAGTGTGAGAGTCGACTCACACGTTCCTTCTCGTTTATAAATGCTTTTATTAAATATTTTATTTATAAGGCAACATAAGTATGTACATACATAGATATTAAAAATGTCAAAACAAGCTATTCTTGGTGTAATAAGTATAAAATGGGTTTGATTTAATTGGGAGCGAATATTGTAAATTACACTACTCGACAAAATCGAACTTTTTTTTTCCTCAAGGATCCAAACCGACTTTTTCTGATAGATATGGGGATTTAAAATTTTTTAAAGAATTATGGTTTTTTTTCTATGGCAGAACTTTTTTTGAAGAATTTTTGAAAACTGGTATTTTTTTTAAGCTTTTTTCAGAGGTAGCGCTTGTTTTTTACACATAGCTCTAGTATCTTACGTCTGGTTGTAAAGAACTTTGCTATTTTGAAAAGGTAATTAAAACAGCTAGAAGTTAAGCCCAAATACTTTGTGATTTCAGCTTACCGTCTGGGAAATAAAAAGCATTGAAATGCAAAAATGATGATTTTTGTGCGGTATTTGTTAGGAAATTTTGACTTTAAAAACTCAGGAAAAGTCGAAAAAAAATTATATCTTGTGTCCTCTATTTTTTTGTGTATAGGTGCTTTTATTTGGCGTCGTTTAAGGTATCGCTCATTAAAATCTATGGAGAGACTTTGGAGCTAAAATTCGTTAACCAAACCTAAAATATGAAAAAAATGAACAAAAAATACCTTTTGGAAGGTTGCGGGCCCAACTGCCAATTGGGAACTAGAGGACACAAGATATAATTTTTTTTCGACTTTTCCTGAGTTTTTAAAGTCAAAATTTCGTAACAAATACCGCACAAAAATCATCATTTTTGCATTTCAATGCTTTTTATTTCCCAGACGGTAAGCTGAAATCACAAAGTATTTGGGCTTAACTTCTAGCTGTTTTAATTACCTTTTCAAAATAGCAAAGTTCTTTACAACCAGACGTAAGATACTAGAGCTATGTGAAAAAAACAAGCGCTACCTCTGAAAAAAGCTTTAAAAAAAAATACCAGTTTTCAAAAATTCTTCAAAAAAAAGTTCTGGCATAGAAAAAAAAAAAAATATCATCAAACCATTTCTAAGCCCCAAATCTTTAAGAAAAAGTTCGCTTTGTTCCTTGAGGAAAAATCGTGTTGACTAGTGTTATAGGTATGGGATGTGATCTGCTCAAATAAACCAACAACCTAATTTTCGACTTGCACCACGTACAAAGTCACTGTCGCACAGTATAATCATTTAACTCGTATTAATTGAAAATGAAACTAATGGAACTATTTGGGTATGTATTTTAAAAATTTAATTTAATTAATACAAATAATAATTTAGTATAAGTTATAACTTGTAACAATAAAACAAAAATTTGCCAAAACATTTACATACAGGTATTATCGACTTATCGACCTCTTACGAACTTGAACCAGTTCTTCGAGCTACCCAACCAACATTGTTGATTGTGTACAATAGTAAATCATTTTTTTGGTAAAATATGATTAAGTAAATGTAAATGCTTTTATTTTATGATTTAATTTTTAGCATTTTTTCAACCCCGATTCATACCAGTTGAACTCCATGCACCGCACATGAATGTCTCAAATGGTGCCGACACGTAAACGTATAGTGATAATAATTTGTGTAGTCGTCATACTCGTCTGTTTGCTACGAATTTTACTTTTCAATTCACCTCTGCCTCCATTAACGGTAAGAATATATGTAAGTTTATTGTTTTTAATTATTACCACCTTAATTTCAATTTTTTGCAGGATCAAACAAATTATCAACGGGCCATTGGAGCGCCCGTGCTAGTCATGGTTTTCTATGAGGCTCTATGCCCAGACTCAAAATACTTTATTACAAAACAGCTACTCACAGCATACGAGGCTGCTGCACCAATAATGGAGATATTACTTGTACCTTATGGCAAGGCGACAACAAGTGAAAACGATGGAAAATTAAGTTTTGATTGCCAACATGGTCCGACTGAATGTCAGGCAAATATTTATCACGCCTGTGCGTCTGAAGCAATTGAAGATCCGCTAGTTCGGTTACAGGTAGTATCCTGTATGATTCGAGACAATCGTTCCCCTCAAGAGGCAATGCACAAGGTAATTATGGGGTAATGATCCTCAAAATATAATATTATGTAGGATAGTGGTATAAGGAACAGGGTCGCTCCCATATACACACATATTTAGTGTAACGTTTATACTATAAACATTGATTTCGGCAAACTTGTAAATTATGCCATAAAATACCAGTCATTAGCGAAGAACTAAAATATTCCATTCGTGGAAACCCATTTATCCTTTTCAGTGCGCGAAACAGCATAGTGAAAACTTTGATCTCATACAAAAATGTTATGACAGTGACCATGGATTAGAGCTGCTGAAACAGAACGGAGAAGCCACACATTCGCTCAGGCCACAAGTAACGTTTATTCCAACTATTACAATAGATGGTTCCCAGGGTAGACAGGCATCCATTTTAAAAAACTTGCTTTTTGAAGTATGTAAAGCAGCTGGTAACACAGATGAAGCTAAAAAAATATGCAAAAACACTGTGTAAGAGCGCATTTATTTCCAGCACAAAATGTAGCATATTCTATGCTTAAGAGACTATCAGGATTATCATTTTAATCAACATTTAATTCTAGCAAATAGTCACATTGGTGGTATAAAAACTACAAAATATGTAAATAAACAATTTAAATAAAAATGACTGTACATACGGGAAAAAATATGCTCCTCATGAGCTTATACTTGAATGGTCGACTTGAATATTTACATCATGGCAAGGTATGTACTCTTCGACATTGGGCTCGCAATTAACACCAATTAAGAACCTTTTCATAAGGCAGCACTTTGAGTCGCACAGATTCAACGCAAATTCAATGGTTAATACAGGGATGTTTGCACTGCCAAAATCGTTTTTTAAAACCTGTGCCTGTAAGTTACACATTCCATTGTTCAGGCATCCGGATTTTTTATTTACCTCCAGTGCACTATTCATCGTTCTTATTGTCCATTTCTGCGGAGCTTCTTCTGTAAACTTAAGCTGTGGCGAAAGTCGAATATTAAAGTTAATCGTGCTCTTTCTACTACAATGCAAAGGCAACGCCCTAAGCATATATGGTTCGCCATGCTTTAGTAGAAGTTGCGGCGCATCCGTTTCACTAGCACAATCAACTTTGCTAAAATCTAGTAAAAATGGTCGGGCTTTAAGGGTTAACAAATCAATTATTTGTATGGCATGATTATTAGTATCTGAAACCAACAAATTCCTCCCGTCTGCGTCTAAACATAGTCCAGCTGGCTCGTTGAAAATCAAAGGAGCTCCTTCTTGACTCTTTATGGCTAATGTCGAAACACAATTCGTCTCGGCATCAATAACTTTAATTTTATGATTATATGTGTCAGCAACATACACCTTGTTGTCGGCATCATTATGTGCCACTCCGAGCGGGTGTTGAAGTTTCGCATTGAAAAGCTTGCCATCGACATCGCCGAACGCAAAAAGGTTCTGAAAATTGTAAATGTGTACGTATTTTTTATTATCGCAAAATATGTATTTTTTTTTTTTTAATAATAAAACTTACCAGGGGGTTGCGATCCCCTCCAACTACTGGCATAACTTTTCCATCAATCATAGATGCCTTCCGTATGCTAGAGCTTTCGCTATCAGCTACGTAGAGAAAGTCTTTTGACATGGCCAGACCAGAGGGCTGCGCAAATGCAGCGTTCTGTGGATATGAATTATTACGATTTTCTTCCAGGCCGTTGCCGATTAACGACACACAGCAAAGTGGCTCAAACTTGCGAAATTTCCACCATATAATACCCTCTGGAAAGTATCCCCAAATCTGATGGGTTCCGGCCATTGATATAAGTAAAATTGTTTTTTCAGGCACATTACGCTCGTCAAGATGAAAAGACATATCCATATCACGCGTGCGAAATACAGCCACATCCCAAGGCGAAGATAAAGACTGCAACGGACCTACACGACCACCAATCCGTTCGTTTCCTTGATGTCCTGTTCCAGCAAGGGTTTCCACCATTTCATTTTCTAAAGATATTTTCCGTAGTGCGTGATTTTCGGTATCAGCAACAATAAGCGTTCTCTCATCAAGAAATGCCACTCCCTGAGGACTATTAAAACGTGCTAAAGTCAATTTACCATCAACGAAGCCAGCCTGAAGACCTCCGATCTTGTGTTTTACGACACCATCAGGGGACATCACAAGAACACGATTGTTACCAGCATCAGCTATTGCGTAGCAGCCCAATGTACTTCGAGCAATTTTTGCAGGAAAACGCAAATTAGACGCCGGATGCAAATGACTTGAAAGCTGGATAGGTAGACTGCCGAAATTTATTTGTTCCTGTCGGCTAAAGAAAGATAACGCGGCACCAATAAACTCTTGCATGAATATCCCATGTCCTTCACCCATAAGTAACAACATGGGCAAACCACTCGGACTCAACACCATTATTGATGGCCAGCAGCGTACACCAAGAGCACGCCACAAACCGGAACGGGAATCGTTTACAATGGGATGCGTGATACCATATCGATCTACAGCAGACAGTATGTTCGACGTAGTGCGTTCGTTCTCAAATTTCGGACTGTGTACACCGATAACTACAAGTCCGCTTTCAATGGGAAATCGCTCTTCTAGACTATGGAGCTCTGGCAATACGTGCATGCAGTTTATACAACAATAGGTGAAGAAGTCTAGAACAACAACTTTTCCGCGCAGACCTTCTAGAGACAAAGGTTGACTGACGTTAAACCAATCCAAATCTAAGATCACATTTAATAAAGATTTATATATAATGATGATTTCAGTCCAACTTACCCGATTCAAACTCAATGTGTGTAGACTTGAGCTTGGCAATGGAGCTGTCGTTTTCAAGTTGCTCAAGAAAGTCAATGAGTACTTTCACCTTTTCTTTCTCTCCATTCGTGTTTCTGTATGTTTGCTGTAACTCATCTGTTATATATGTAACGATGTCGATTGGCGGTAGATCGTCGGAGTTATCCATTTTGAATGAATTTTTAATTCTGAATGGTACAAAAATATAGTGAATATTTATTAAATATATATCTTCATTTAATATATACCTATCGATATGTATTTTTTTGACGGCAAATATATTTACGCAGTTTCTTGATACAAAGGGCATCTGTAAAAAAGTTGCAAGGTGTGTGACCTAGAGAGGGGAAGATATTTTCATTATTTCGCTACCAAATAAGAATTTAATAAAGTGTATGTATAAAATATTGTTAGCATAGCATTTTCATTTGTATGTATTTCCAATATTATAATGATTAATTTCAACAAAGCCTAGTACTCAGACAAGCTAAATTTTCCGTCGACCGACTCAGGGATGCTATTCGAATGGAAACGATAAGAAATCATACCTGTTTTTTGCTCAACCGTAACATAGAATATCTCTGCCATTTGTAGAAAAAAATCTGTGTGTAAGCGGCTCCGATCTCCGCAACGCGTGCACCAAATTGCATGCTTTTTTAAATGATAGCCAGAGAATGTGGCATGGTTGGCACAAACAAATTTGTTCTTTTCTATAAATATGTTCTTCAAAAATTAAAAATTAATAACAAAAAATCTTAAATTTGTACTCAGATCCGAAAAAACACCTCGCGAACAGAATCTGAGTTGATATTCGTATGAAACCGATATGAAAAATTATCCTGCAAAAAATGTTTTCTAGGCTCTGTACGGAAGGCAGTACTCAGATCAACAAATAAAGGTCGGTATATACTAGAAAAGTATCCGAAGTATTTGCTTGTTTTTTTGGTATGTTTAGACCCACCTCGAAAATTATATCAATTTGATATATTTTGCCAGCATACACGAAGCAAACATTGCAATAAGAGTACAATAAACCAAATGAAATATTTTAATAATGAAGACAAATAGAATCTAATTAATGCAGTGTTATATGAATGACAATTATATAGATATTATAATTTATTATTTTTATTTCTCATAAATATAAAACAAATATTGTTTTCAAAACTGTTTGTCTTCACGGTGTCCGGCACGGGAGGCGTCGCCATCTGCTGCTGCTGATAGTCAGACACATTACCTTGCCAATAAAATATTGGGGAGCCCAGGATATGCCTGGGGAAGAGCGACCCCAGCCGAAGAAGTGCATATTATTAACTTTAAACAAAACCAAGCAGCTGTCTGAGCAGTGTAGCCGTATGGAATGCAGTGCACACCTCTGGTCACACACTGGCCGCTCGAAGAAATTATGACATTTGTTTGCTGGCAAACAGTTTTTCGATCTGAGTCATCAATTTTCCGCACCTTCGAGAATGATGCGGCAGTGTAAAAAGGCTATTAATTGCAAAAGGACAAGAAATAAATGACTTAATAATGCATTGACATAAATATGATACCATAACCAGTGCAATTGAGATTGTGCTATTATTATAAATATTTTTTTAAACCAACCTCAAAATTGGATCAGACATAATAGGTCTGTGCAACAACAAATAGTGAATTCCTCTGCACAGCTGTGGCAGCCCGATTTGGTTATCGATAAATCGATACCATTTCTCCCCCCTTGTCAGAAATCAGAGCGCCTTGATATGAGAAGTATGAATTGTGGTTGAAAACGTAAAACCCAAAAGTATGTGAAAGTCGGAGCCTGCCTGATTAAGTTACTTTCATCCATTTCAAAGTCTATTCTACCGACTCAAAACATTTTGCCTTCGTGGTGTTTTCAGGCAGTCGTACCAGTAGCATCTTCTGCTGCCGATAGCCCGACCCATGCCATAGCAAATAAAATAATGAATGGCCCTGGATATGCCTGGGGAGTAGCGACCCCAGCCGGAGAAGTGCCTTTTAATAAATTTGTTTAACTTAAACATAATTGGAGGCAAAACACAGCTGACTGAGCAGTGTAACCGTAGAGCATGCACACCTGGTCACACTCTGCAGCTAGCGAAATGTCACTTTTCACAGCAAAACATTTTTCGGTACTGAGTACTACGCTATTTCTTAAGAAAAGTAGTTCATTCCGTTAATTAAATGAGAACATTTCTCAAAAAAAAAAGTTCTAAAAATATATTAAAAAAGAAAATATATATTAGCATATCGATATACTTTGTTTAGGGATATTGTTTGGGATTGTCGTGTCGGAAAAATTACGTAGTATGGAAAAAAGTAAACAGTGTTTTTATAAATTTCAAAAGCGGACTAAATGGACAGAAAAATATAAAAATAAAAACAACATTAGCAGTCTGGTCACAAATTTAAGGCTCTTAAATTTCGTTTTCCAAAAAGCTGTAAACTTGAAGTCGCGTGTTAAAAATGAAAAATCAATTGCTCAAGCATGCTTGCTGCTTAGCTCGTTAAAAATGAAAAGCACACATTTCGCGGTCCTAATAACTATACTCATTTTTGCTAATGGTGCAAATGAGGGCCTCTGTTCCGTTTTAAATGGTGACAGTGCCAGTGCTAGGTCTTCTGTGAAAACACCATACCAAACCCTAGAGAACAGTAAAAGTATTGACTTAAGATGGATGTCGGTGTCGTCATCACAAAATCAAGCAAGGCAAGTTCTCGCGCAAGAATAGTGATAACTAAACTTTCTGTATGTGCATTGAATTCCACATATGTATGTACATATGAATGCATGCACATAGTACCTACATACATACGTATGTCAAAGTATGCTCGTATCATAAAGTAAACATAATGAATAGTC